GTGCCCCCCCCCCCCCCCGGAGCACTGCTTTACCACGTTATATCCGAATTTGTGTTATATCAGGTCGCGTTATATTGGGGTAGAGGTGTATATGGCAGAATGTGGGTAAAACAGAGGAGGGAACCTACAATTCTCCCTCAAGGAGTTCAGTCATAAATTTAATTAATGCATTATTTTTTTTAACTAGCTTCATCAGCATAGAAGCATGTTCTCTGGAATGATGGACAAAGCATGAAGGGGCATACGAATGTTTAACATATCTGGCACGTAAATACCTTGCAATGCTGGCTACAAAAGTTCCATGCAAATGCCTGCTCTCACTTCCTGGTGACGTAAATAAGGAGAGGGCAGCATTATCTCCTGTAAATGTAAACAAATTTGTTTGTCTTAGCGATTGGCTGAACAAGAAGTAGGAGTGAGTGGACTTGTAGGCTCTGAAGTTTTTTACATTGTTTTGTTTTCAAGTGCAGTTATGTAACACAAATATAGATTTTTTTTTTCAGTTGCATTTTCTTCACAAAGATTACACTACAGTACTTGTATGAGGTGAATTGAAAAAAACTTGTTTACCATTTTTACAGTGCAAGTATTTGTAATAAAAAATAATATACACTTTGATTTCAATTAAAACACAGAATAAAATATATATGAAAATGTAGAAAAACATCCAAGATGTTTAACAAATGTCAATTGGTATTCTGTTGTTTAACAGTGCTATTAAAATTGCAATTAATCGCCATTAATTTTTAAAATCGTGATTCCTTTTTTTGAGTTAATTACGTGAGTTAACTGCAATTAATCTACAGCCCTAAAAAAAGCTAATCTTTGAGAAGCTCATCATGTCTTTACAGAGACAACATTTCAAAGGTTTTAAAGGCTCCTGGTATATCCATATACTGGAACCTTGTGTCTTGGAAAGACACTTCTCAAACTGGTTGAATCACAGCACTACTTCCTCCCCTGGCCTCTTTGGAACATTACCTGGGCACCAGCTCTCTGCCACCCCTTCACTGAAATGGAGCCTTTCGGCCCACCTGCATTAGGCACCCAGAGCCAATGCTGACCCTCAAGATACCTCAGTAACCTAAATACAGCCCTCTTAGAACTCAGCCTGGAAGCGCACACCTTTGGTAATCATTTAACTTTCTCAGGAGGCATGTAGTAGTGAAGTATATAACACAGAGACACTTTGAGTGGAGTCTAAAATGTGAAATGCTCTTTTACTTAACAGATAAAACACAAGAGTACAGATCGTTTAGAAAATAATGAACACCCTAAATGCAATGCGCTCACTAGCTCTCCTTCAGAGTCTGGGGGGACCATCTGGATTCAGGAAGGTAGGCAGGTGACCCTGCCTCATCGGACTTTTGCATATTGGATTGCTTCTCCCTCAGTCTTTCAGCTTGGCTTGCCTTCTCTGTTCTTGGCTGGTGTGTGCCCTTCCTTTCTCTTGCCCAGTGGTTTGTGTCTTGCTCCAAGCTTTCCGTGTTTATATGCCCCCTTCCCAACATGTGGCTTTCTTTGTTCTGCCTTTTGGTAAATTTCCACTGTTTTAAAACTTCCCCCTTTAATCAGACAAGAGGATGTGTCTTCCCTCAGCAAACTCCCTTAAATCTGCTGACCAGCCATTAAGAGTTAAGTACTTTTCATGTCCTCAGTCTGGTGTGTATCTGGTGCAGGTCTTGCCCACAGTGGTGGATACACATACATGGGCTTTCCATGATACAACAGTATCATGAAAAATTCAGAATAACTTCATAATATCAACCAGAGTTCATTGTTGGACAGGTAGAGGCCCTGAGTTATCACTGATCCTACTGATCAAAGTCCGTTCCAGAGGCTTAGCTGGAGATTGAGCTGGAGGCCTCAGAGACAATGGTTCTAGCACTGTCCATTAACACTCTCTCCAGTATTTGCTGAGGGGTGGTTTATCTTGAGCCATATTTTTTCTCTCCGGACTTTTTTTTCTTCAGACAGACACTTATTGAGTTAAACCAATGAAGTCTTACAGAAAGCAACCCAATTAGCAGGTCGACATAGAGTATTAATAAATTATTACAGAGCACCTCTAAATCTGTCATTCTCCATCAGTGACATATCTGAACACCATAATCTTTTAATGCATTTATCTTGATACCTTGTGTGGTAGAGAAGCTTTATCTCCATTTTACAGATGAAGAACTGAGGCACAGAGAGACTAAGGTCTCTGTGACCCAAGGTTACACAGAAATTGTGTGGCAGAGCTGGGAATTGAACCTGGGTCTTAAGTCTTGCTGAAACCCTTGCCATTGAACCATCCTTCCTGTCATAGATCAATGGAACTACTGGGCAGTTTTGATTAGAGATGACTGAAAAAAAATATATGTATTTGTTTCAGTGGCTGAACAGTAAAACCTTGAAAAAAATGTGTTTTGTTTTGAATCAAAACTGACGACTTTTTCCCCTCACAGAAACAAAAACTGAAAAATTTAATTTGGGTCACATTAAATGCTTTGAATGTATACTTGAAACAGCATTTTTTAAACAAAATGTTGATTCAAAACACTTTTTGGGGGTGGGGGTGGGGAAATGCAAAACTATTCATAGAATTTGTTCCAAATTTGCAAATAGTCATAAGTGCCCTGAAAAATACTCCCCCCCCCCCCCCCCTTTTTTTGCATTTACTCTTTTCCCACTTTTTTTTTTTTTTTTTTTTGCTCAGCTCTAGTCTTGAGTAACCTGGAGTGCTTCTGGTATGCAATAGATTGTATGTTGCTATTGGGAACGG